GGAAGAAACAACTAAAACCACAGTGGCATTAACTGAAACAATACAACAGGTGCATATGTGTCTAGAAATACAAAACAACTTTTGCAAGTCGTTGTTTCCAGCTGTAAATGTAAAAGCGTAGAATTTAATGGTATCCTTTGGGGCTATGTAAAATGTTACTAACAATTGCTGCATTATAGCAGCTAGTATATTGAGGTGTGATACAACTGGAGGCTACAAGCTGTTAGGTAGCACTGAATCTTGGGCATAATTCATATACCTTTCCATGCAAACATCCCACTCCCTTCCATATTTATCTCCTATCATTTAAGACCTGCTCAAGCACAGCAGCTTCTTGGTATTCAGATCACAGAGAATTGTTTAGTATGGCTAATGAAGAGCTGCCTTATAGCAAGAGTCCTGGGGAAAACTGAAAGGGTTAAGTTCATCCCATTAGGAAATCTTACTTCCCCAGAAGATGATGTACTGTAGTCTATTTTAAATCTGAAGAGTGGATTATGTAGGTAACTGAAATGTGTTACTTGTTTACAGTAAACACTTATTTGAAAGCACATTGTCTATCTGGTTCCTAATGCACCAAGAGCACTGAAAAACACAGAACTCCAAACTTTTGTATCAGCTTTATTAAATGATAAACCAAATGGTAGTGTATTTTCCCTACATTGCAAACAAATGTATCCCTGACTCCCATAAATCTAACTGAAGTATTATGCATCAAAATTGCCTAAGTTCAAGCTGGAGCACAAGTCTGTCTGGAAACTTGGTTGGCCTTAAAATTCAGCATGGTGTTGTCTCTGTTCATGGTGTTCTGTCCACTGTTCAACAACTGAGCTGTTTAACCACCTCATTCTCCTGTTGTCCTTGAAGTACGTCATGATGTTGGGCATTGTTTTCTTGGCTTTACTGAGAATGAATCAGACACAGGGGTCTTAGATCAAGTATTCACACAGTCAGTTAATATATATTCAGAATAAAATTCAGAGCTCCTGAAAATGAGAATCATTTATTGTGAAATCTGATTGAAAGGAACCTGTGTGTCAAAAGGTCTTCCAAACATGAAGTTTGTCATGAAACACATTAACTGTACTGCTCTTGGTATTTCATATAAACATATATATATCATATATATTTCATAAAAACAACCACAACTAGCAGTTTGACAACACACTGTTCTTTGTCTACTTAGGTATAAGTGTATAAACTATTCGACTGACATGAATTACTTGGTGTTATTATGAAATGTGTGGGAAAATGTAGATGCAAATAGATGAATTTGAATTTCTCAGTTATCTTTTTCCTGATAGGTAAAGACTGTCACTTTGGCTGACTTCCCTCCTTTGGTTTACAGGCAGCTATTCCTCTGGAGCAACCTTCTGGAAACAATTTCACTTTTATAAGTGAAGAAGCAAAACAGATCAATTAGGCAGACTGGAAGTTTGGTGCCGCAAAAATGAGAAGAAAAGGCAGTTCATCTCCTCCTGATTTTCTTTTAAATGTATTTTTCTTTAATTTCCCAGAGGAAATTGGAAGGATATCAAAAAGACATGTGCCATACTGCAGTCTCAATTAGTTTATAGTGAAACAGTGCCAGAGCAGGGAGATACAGCTTTACTGCATGGCATCACGTGGAATTAAGGAGCTAAATTAACCTCTAATGCTCTTAAAAAATAATAATAATAAAAAATTACAGCACAATAGAATTTGAGTGTGTTCAGAAGAACATTCCTTTGCTTTCTTATGCTTCAATGTTATGCCCTGCTGCATGCATTTAGAAGTTAATCTCCTTTCTTTTTCAGCTGCTGGCCACCAGTTCATCTCAGCAGGTTTTTTTTCTTTATATCTACTTTCTGCTGGGTAATTGCAACAAATGGCTTCATAAGGTAACTGCTGGTTTTTGGCAGAATAAGAAGAGAAATTCAGATAGTGAATAAATTTCACATCCCTTCAGATGCTGGACACTCTACATTTGTCCAGCATGGGATAGGACCTGAATAGATTTTCTCATGGCATGCTGTGCAGAGTAGATCCTGTCTATGGTGAGAAGCTCTCCCTTTTGGTCATTTGAGCTAACGTAAAATTTTCCCACAGGACAATAACTGTATTCCATGTGAACTGTGTTCACATGGTAGTGTCTTGCTGCACTTTCAGATAAACTTTTGGGGCCAGTTTAGGGCCAGTTCTCTTCAATGTTTTTATAAATGATCTGGATACAGAACTCAAATGCATACTAAGTAAATTTGCAGATGACACTAATTTAGGAGGAGCTGTTGACTCCCTCAAGGGTATAGAGGCCTTCCAGAGAGATCTTGACAAATCAGGGGGCTGGGCAATTACCAAATGCATGAAATTAAACAATTTAAAATTCTGCACCTGGGATGGAGCAATCTAATGTACAGGTTGGGGGATGAGAGTCTGGAGAGCAGCCTATTGTAAAGTGGTCTGGGGATTTTGGTGAATAGCATGCTGAATATGAGCCAGCAGTGTGCCCTGGCAGCCAAAAGGGCCAAGTGTACCCTGGGGTGCATCAAGCTCAGCACTGCTAGCTGGTTGAGAAAAAGGATTGTCCTGCTCTGCTCTGAGTTGGTCCAGCCTCACCTTGAGCACTGTGTGCAGGTTTGGGCACCACAGTACAAGAAGGACATAAAACTATTAGAGAGTGTCCAAAGGAAGACTATAAAGATGGAGGAGGGTCTAGAGAAGAAGATGTATGAGGTGTGGCTGGGGTACCTTTGTTCAGCCCAGAGGCTGAATGGGGAGGGTCAGGCTGGGTGTTAGGGAAAGGTTCTGCACAGAGAGCCTGCTGGAGTTCAGAAAACATTTGGACAATGCTCTCAGACAAAGGGTCTGATTTCTGTGTGGTCCTGTGTGGAGCCAGGAGTGGGGCTCCACAAGGCAAGGCCAGGCAGGTGGCCTAATCACCAGTAGCCAGTGGGAGCTCCTGCAGGCTCCTCTGTTACAAGGAGTTAGCTGAGTTCATCCTGTGGCTGAGGGTTTCATGCAGCACACCACAACCTGAAGGCTATGCTGGCCTTTGTCTGGTGAAACTGCTGGATGGACTACCTCTGTTTGTCTAGTCTTTACTACAGTAGACTTCACTACAGCGTTCTCCTGCTCAGGACCAGCACAGTGGTGGAATGCAGAACTTTCCCTGGCATTACATTGTGGGTACATGTGTTATGTGGTCCATCCACTGATGGCTCACTACTGGAAAGAGTCAGAGCAAATATTTATTAGCATTGGGCTGGAGATGCTTCTTAAGTGAATGGAGTGCAGAGAAGAGGTATCAGAGTTTATTTTACTGCTATCAGGAAATTGTGGACAATACTGCAGAACTATTAGCCACAGATTCTTTACAAATAATTTTATTTTTCAGATGCTCCACTCAATTTTATTTTTACCTGTAGTCTGCTGCTCCTAACTTACCACCTGCTAAATATAAATTTGTGTTTATCCCATGACTAATTAATACAGAAGACACACGATTAAGGTTGGAGGTTGTTACTGCATGCTGTACACACGTAAGCAGAATGACTTCTTGATTTGGTGATTTTTCTGTGGCTGCTCTTTTTGAAGTGTGACAACATCCCAGCAAAGAAGCCTGCAGAGAGGCCTTCTCTATGGTTTGTTCACAGGCTCATAGTGATAGCTGGATTTCACCTATGTTACAGGAGGAACTGTGCATACACTGAGGGGAGTATTTTATAGGTAATGGACATGGAGACTTCTTAGGAAACAATGATGCCATCTCACTTTGCAGGCAGGCTGTTGGAAGGAGACCAGTGCAGACAGGATTTTTTTTTTTTTTTTTTTTTTTTTGAAGAGTACCCTTTATAAACACCAGGCTAATGCTTTACTTGGAAGAAAAGGAGGTTGCCTCATTTTATTTTACTTATTTTTTAATTTTTGGTGTGGGAAGCAAGAGGGGGAAGTTGTTCGGCTTTTGTTTTGTCTGTTGAAGTCCTGTGGGGACAACGTATCGGTTGATTTGTAATCAGTAATTTGTAATCAGTAATTCCTGCTGGTAGTAAAATCTGCATAAAGCCATTGCAGGTGTTTTGGTTCAAACAGAGAGAAGATTTACAATTATCTTCTTATATGGTATTTTCCATAATGTTTCACATAATTTCATGCAGGCTTCATAATTGCCTAGTAATGTATTGGTTTTGCAGTTTTTACTAACTGTTTAAATCTTATAGTACAAAAATATTATTTGGGAAAGGTTTGGCTTTACCATCTTTGACAGATAAGTGTTCCTTTTCAGACTTTTCAGAAAAAATCTACTCTTAAATGTGACAATTTCTATCAGAGGAATTGGTTTCCTTTTTATAAAAGTCTAATGTCTTGAAGAGTGGTTTTATACTTGATGGGTATTTGCCACTTTCACTGTTAACATTGTTTCTTTTTTTCAGTTCATCTGCCACTTCAAATAGTAACCCATTTATCAAGAGATAATGCTATCCACTATTGCAACAGCAGAACTAAAGAAGTGCTTCCTAAGAACCCAGCAAGAGAAGGTATTTTAAAAGCAATGCTTTAATGAATGCTATGAGCAGAGAATTACCTTTCAGGATGAAATTTTCAGGAACTAATAACTACAGGCTTTGAGGAACTTCAGAATTTGGCAAAAATTCTTCTCACAGTGGGTATAGTGGAAAACTACAACTCCAAAATAAAACAGAGTTTTAAAATGAATGCTAGTGTAAGTAGCAAGGTGAGAGGGGGGTAGCAGGGCTGTATGCAATCTGAATACTCATGGAAGTAAAAGAAAGAGAGAGTGGGCTGGGTTACAATTAGCACTACAACATGCTAATAAGCACAAGGAGCTAGGAGAACTGTATTGTTTCTTTGCATCCCTAAGGAAAAACCACCATGATAACTTTTTAAAGTAAAAGGCTTTTTCACGCCCAATATGACTTGCCTCAGCTTGGTCCTCACACTCTGCTGAGCAATTTAGTGAGCTCCACAGAAGCTTTGCCAGCTGGGTGGGTGCATTTTAGTCAGGGGAGTGGGAAGGCACTCTGAAATTACTTGACGATTCTCACTGGGGTACTATAATTGGAAGAGCTGATGTGAAACACTTGTCCTCTAAGAAATGGAAGTATTGATATGAAGAAAAATGTTACCTGCTGCATGAGGCTCGCTCTTCGGGAAACTGTTTCGTTTTGTTTGTGCTATTGTTCTTCTGTAATGACACAATTTTTATAGGAAGATTGAGCTGTCTTTTCTCATTCACACTTGATTGCTGCTGTGTGAACTTTCACAAATAGGTTTTTACCTGGATCTTTGATAAGGTGTTTGTTGTTTTTTTTCCCTTTCTACTGTTATGTAGCTGCAATGTATTTATATATTTTTTTTTAGCAGTAGTGACGGATCTAGAACTAGACAGATCTAAAACTATCCAAGGGACCTCTTCATATTACTGCTGTTTGAAAGTCAGTGGATCACAGTGCCTAACTACTACTAGAACAGGATTAGTGGACAGCAGACTTCAAATGCTTGATGTTTACCTATTGACAATAATCTCAGTTTAATTCAGAACTGCCTATATGGTAAGCACAAAAATCTTTTACTAAAAGTTCTTTTAGACAATTGTATTGATATCAAATTATACTGTTTGTACAAGATAAAGGAACTGTTAATGATGTACCTACCCTTCCTTGCAAACACATGTACCCCATGTTACTCTAGAACTGGAAGTATTTTAGTTCTAGTGTGTTCAGTTTTAAATCACTAGCTAAACTTGCTAAGCAGGTATCATGAGCAGCATAGCTGTTTGTTTATGGCAGTGTCGTCATAATTGTTTGGAGAATCTGAACTGCTAAAAGCATGGGGAATTCATTTATACTAACCGAATTACAATTAAAGATTTTAAATGGTGATTTTCTTATATAAAAGTTTTTCTTTTAATTATTTGTTGTTAGCCTTCTGTAAGCATTATATTAAAAAGAACCAGCAATGTTATTTTGTTTAAAGATTCATTGTTTTAAAAGGTCAACTTTTGATATGGAAATTTGTAGGCATTTCTAGATGGATCTGACCGCCAACTGGTGTGGTTCACAGCCTTGCCAGTGGCAATCTGAGACTATTTCATTCCAAAATCTGTTTTTTAAACTAATTTACTCATGGTCTCATGATGTTTCTTTTATCACTTAGCAGGTGTAGGAAGGTGTTGTTGTATCATTGCTGATTATGCTGTTGTTAATCATGTAAACTTCAGCCTTTGCAATACCTTTGACAACAAATTTATGGATTAGTTATGTCTTGTGTTAATAATGTCCTTTTACAATCTGCTGTTTTAGTTCATTTGAGAGCCCATTTCTTCAGTAGCCATTCAAAAAGATTGATAGGGATTTCTATTACTTTTTCATTAAAGCCATCTTTTTATGAAGTTTACCAACTTATCTTTTTGCAAGTAATGTATTTATCAGCTGGAGATCATCTGATTCTTTTAATATATTCTGTTCCACTCTATTTAAGTACAGATGATCAGAATGATTCATGCAGCTGTAGATGAAAGCATACCCTTAATTTAAAGGACTGCATGGCACTTTCTTGACTGTATTTGCCACACCTTAACTGATTAAGAATAATCAAAATGACACTCCTCAGCAGTCACCAGCTTATTGAAGTAGAGTAGCTAAGGATTGGAGTCAGATTTTATTTATTTATTTATTTATTTTAACCTGCAATTTAGACAAGCTGGTGCTTCCACTGATCTGCTCCAAAGAATAAATCTTTTACCAGATGCTCCTGGGGAAGCCCTTCCACTCTGCTTCTATGCCTAGGCTGTCCCAGGGCACTACTTGGATATGGCAAGATTTCCAGGCCACTCATCCCCTGCCTGGTGAGTAGGTGAATATCTGCGTGGGTACTGCGTTGTCAGTACCTATCTCAAACAAACAAATCTGTAAAGCAGTTTCATCTAAAATACTGCAATATTTCCAGGAGAAATATTTTCTGATTTTAGCTGTGCAAAATTTACACAGGCATGACTGTATTTTGAAGGTTGTATTTACTGGTAATTTTTCAAGAGATAGTTTTCTTGACTTTCTGTTTTACTTTGTAAGGTGATATGTGAAAAATTGAACTTTCTTCTTTTTTTTTTTTTTTTTCTTCCTTAACTTAAAAAAGTATTAATAAATAAAAACCACGAGTACATTCGTAGGGGAAATAATATTAAAAGCTCCAAACACTATCTTTTCTCACAGCTGGGAACCATCCAGATCTGGTCCATAAGCAGCAGCTGCAGGGCGATAAATTGCATTCACCAGCAGAGGTCTCCCACAGCCTGCTGCTGTTACTGAAGCTGGCAGCTTGGCGCTCTGAAGACATAGCGAGGGAAAAATCTATACAATATCTGGAAATCAGGTAACGTTCTATCCTTAGCACAAATTGAAGCTTTTTTTTTTTTTTTTAAAAAAAAAAAAAAAAAAAAAAGAAAACATTAAGAACGCTGTTGCAACTTGGCTCGATTTTTTTCCTGTTAAATATTGCTGAACAACATTTGAATAGTATTACAGAAATCATCTCTGTAAACAGCGTGATCACCAACATGCAGAATAACGCTACAGTGCTTGATTTTGCCAAGGAAATTCCTAAGACTTATGATGTACTTCATTTCGGGGTGCTTATTATGCTTTAATCACTGTTAAGGGAGTATAGGAACATGAACAGAAATTCACAGTTCAGATAAGAAAGCGATTTTTTTGCATACTGTTTATCCCTTTTTGCTCTCCCTCATGTATCCCAAAGATAAATTTATGTTAGGATACAAACAGAATCAGCTAGGCTATACCATGTCTTATTACGCCTCTAATTTCTTTAAAATAAATACAGTAAAATATTTCTTATGAATGTTATTGCATAAATTGTGTAACAGATGCTGCGTTCATTTCTGCTTTTAACAAAAGAGAGCAAGGTTATTTGTGTTTCTAATGATAATTAAAATAACTTTGCCTTTTAGTTCTTGTTTATCGTTGTAAATTACAGGTTTAGTTCTGCTTGCTGTCTACTGTGAGCGTTATCCTGTGAACTTCACATATGGAAAGTATAAATCAGTTTATTGTAGTGCATGCAGTCAGTAATATAAGCAAAGGAAGTAAGCCATAATTAATTTATGGTTTGATCTTTAAACAAAAGCTTTTTCTACCCTGTTTTTTTTTGTTGTTGTTGTTGCTGTTGATAATAAAATTATTAATATAGTCATGTCTTTCATAGACATTCATAATTAAAGGGACAAGTCAGAAGTTCTAGTTCAGCAAAAACAGTTGCAAAGCTATGGAAAAACACGTTTACTTTTCATGCAGTTGATCAAGTGTCTTTTAAATGTGCTACAGTATCATAGCTTGTAAGGTGTAGCTTGATTTAATTCCTTTCATTTTGACAGATGTGCTGCTTTTTCTTCTAGTTTGACTCTCACTTATTCTGTATTAGTAATTCAACAAACTCTTTAATCGGGACCAGGCCTATTGTGTTATCATAGTATTATGTACTAAGCCAACAAAAATGGAGGGAATATTTTTATATCAAAGAGTAGTTTGGTGTTGGAGCTGTATTGCAATGTGAAGTTACTTGGGTCAGAGGGCATAGCAAACTCTACCTTTAATAGTTGAAATGGATTTACCGTAATAAAAGAAAATCAGCAAAACTGCATACCCAACTTTCTACATTTTTTGGACTTAGTATTAGGAAGGCCATAGGGTCCTGGATGTATTGGATTAATCATCTAGTCCTGCACTAGTATATTTCTTCTATGGGATATGATTCCCATTTCCCTTCCAAAAAGTCTCACACAGACGTCTTCTACAACATCTTAGTACATCTCCGTTTCCCAGCTGAAGAGGGAAAACAAGTACCGGAGGGTTCACAGTTTTCACTGCTTTTCCAGCCATCTCCTCTCTTCTGTGCAAACAGTAGCACTTAAGGGCCCCTGCAGACTGCAGGTGTGATGATGTGCAAGGGGAAGGTGTGAGTTCTGTGCCCAGAGAGCCCGTGGGAACTAATAATAATTTGTGTGACAAATGGCCTCAGAGCAGGTTTACTGCATAATGGACTCCCACAAAACCAGTAGAGATCAACTGCATCCTGAATGGTCTTCACTCACCAAATAGGCTTACAAAGTGGTCTCAAGTAGAGCATATTGCACTTCAGTTCTGCAGTAGGAATAGATCTCATAACTTCACCTGCCACGATTTGCAGTGAGGACAAGATGAGGCTGTGCTACCTGAAATATACTTTAACACCTAAGGATATTAATTGAGAGAATGTATCATCAAAGCTTGAAACAATTACCTGTATGGGATGTGTGTTGGAACTAACGGAGTCTTAAAAAAAATACATAATTGTTTCTCCTGTATTGGGTCCCAGTAGTTACATAAAAATGAGTTTAATTTTCCTGCAGCGAACAGCTTGCACTTTTCACAGTTGTGCTAACACCACAAAAAAACAAAATCAGCAGAAAGTAAAGATTTAGATTGTGTGCTGATCTCTTATGCAGCTTTTTTAATCCTCAGGCCAAGAGGCCAAAATCCTTATGAATACTAAATGAACCCTTATTTGGTGGAGGTCATCATAAAGCCAGGGGAATTACTAGCAGTTAAAACAGTAATGCTATCGTCTCACTTACAGGTAAATCTGGATATAAACTACCAAGGTTACTTGTTGCAGGGATGTTTTTATCATCTCCTTGCTTAGCTATTTTTTCTCTCCATACCAAAAGAAATGCAGATATGTAGGTAAAACTAAAATTATAATTATGGTCTGTTTTGGTCTGCCATCAAATAAGGTTTGTGTCTTTTTGGCTCATAGGGAGTCTGAAGAGAGAAACAACTATAAAATTGTTAGTCCATCACCAAGTTACTCCTCTGAAATTTTGCACCAGAAGTGGCCTTAAAAATCCTTTTGTACGTTGCTTTGTTCGCAGGGATAGGAATAACTTTTTTCTGCTTAAAAGTGTCCAGCTATTGTGGCTTTCAAATAATATAGACATGATCATTCTCCTGCTAAGACAAAGCAAACATTTGTTTAACTGCATGTATGAGCAGAGCCAGCTGACTTCAGTCTTGAATGTCAAATCACCATTCTGCTAATTTCCCAGAGGAGTATTTTTAAGTCCCATTATTAAACGGATCATTTTAAGAATGTGACTACAAGGGCAAAATGAAGTGTTCATATTTGTTCAAAAGAACTGAATTTGAATTGTGACAATGTTATCTCTTTTTTCCCCCCTATTTCCTTATATTAGTATGTAATGAAAAAAAAATCCTAACTTTCAAATAGTTTGGAATATTTTCTCTTCAAAAGCAAAGAAGATTAATAAGATTCTTGTTCAGTTATACAATATTTACATCAGTGATGCTAGTTGTACCACTGATGCTCATCTCAACTGTTCAGAAAGCACTGTGACCACATCTTCCTTTCTGTAGTAATATTCTTTCTGGGGGAGGTAATATTTTTTTACCAAGTTTGTGTCAAAATCAATGCCTGTTTCTTCCAAGAACATACTGTATTAGGCTATTCTTAGTATATGTCATGCAACAAAGCTTGGTGACGAGGCCAGATCGTGGTAACCTCTGGACTGCAGCAGATGTTGCTATTTTCTCTGAGCTTTCAGAGTTTTAAAATCAGGTGATGTGGTAAGATTTACTCATGTGGATAACATCGAACCACAGTATGATGACACAAATTGTGTCTTAATAGCACAGAATGGTGCTTCATGAGTGATCACAGGCAAAAATATCCTTATCAAATGGTTGGAAAAAAATGCTTCTGCTTTAAAGAAATGTTCTGAGAGGAGTAAGGACGTGTACACATACTCATTATTCAGCTCTTACTTTTGATTTAGAAGTATGTAAAAAGATTAAATGGAAGAACAAGAAATCTGATCTCAGATCAGATGTGAACCATATATCACAAGTAATTATTCCAAAATCTGTCTATTACTCCTTATGAAGCTTATCCATGCGAATCATGATTTTAAACAACTATTTCAATTATGTGGGTGGAGAAAGTGGAGGTTTGTTTCAGACCAGAATCCTGTCACAGCAGTTTTCAAGCTTAAAAGTTCTTGGCTTCCAGACCAATTGATATATCTTCTGACTAGGAGTTTTTATTATTAATTGTATAGGCATAATTTGGCTTTCAGCAAAATCAAGGGGAAAATTCCTGGACCCAGCAGCATTGATGATGGATGTCTTTCTGGAGTCTGTGATGTTAACAGATACTTAATTTGTATGCTGCACAGACAGATATTGGGACTACAGTGAGGAAAACAACGTTTGTTGTTGTTTTGGTTTTTGTTTTTGCTTTTTCCAAAGTGCAAGGATAGATGATTTACCCCTATGGACTACAGAAGGGATTTGCAATCCATTAGTAATCTTTAGGTAGCATTAATTATAATAAACAGTAGGGCTGAGGAAAGTGTTCCATGCCACCTCTCCTGTATTTCTCAGAAGGAGATCTGGTGCATGCCTCAGCATGACTGGTAGCAGAGACTTTTCTTCCAGACTGTACTCCTCTTCTTGGTTCTCCCACACCTTCATGCGAGTGATATATTTATTTTTAATTCCTCAAGCATTCATAGTGCTGAGAAAAAAACATCTTGTGATGAGAGCTTCCAGGCCCCAGGAGCAGGGCTGTGCGCCTGCAAAGGCTGTAGCCCCCAGGGAATACAGCAGCAATGTGTTTTTGCTCTCCTGCTGCTTCCCCAGTGGTCGCCACCCTGCCCAGGGCTGGTGCTCCTAACTGCCAGACTGAGAGCAGGAATTCAGCACTGCCTGCTGTGATTACAGCTCATGCAGATGTATGGAAGGCGTACATTTGTCTCTGCCACTGTTGCCATGGCACTGTGGAGGACCACAGAGGCTCCAGCCTCTTCCCCATAACCTAAATAAATACACTCCTGGCGTGCTTAGCACTGCTGGCTTGGGAGTGACCTGGCCAAGGGGCACATCCTAATGGGCTCCTGTTTCCTCATCACTGACACAGGGGCAAGGGCCAATGGTTAACAACGTTTACTCTTTGACATTTGCAAAATGTCAGCTGTGTCAATGATATTATTTTGTAGAACTGAAAAAAAATTCCCCATGTGTGTCAAGCCATAAGAGTTTTAGCATCCATCATATGTAATCATCAGCTGTCTCTGAGGGTTCCTACCCCTCTTTTTTTATTAGTAGGGAAGGATCCCTGTATTGTTACATTCCTTTGTTATTCTAAGTCCAATAGATAGATGGTTCTGCAACTGGCATTTCCTGACTGCATATAGCAGATGCTAACGTATAAACTCCTACCATCACCATTATTTAGATTTTTGGTTACAGAAGTAGCAGTAGTTAAACTTAGTAGTAACTCTTTTGTAGTTTAACCGGCTTAAAGCCTGAGGATTACACATGCTATCTGAAGAACCATTTTAATGTGCTTTGTTTTCTAGCAGTTGTACATATCTGTATGTGTACCTGCCTATGTATCAGAATGATACAATGCCATTAGATGGCATTTATGATGAGATACAACTTTCCAAAGTATTTTGATGTACGTGAGGGAGACATCACACTGCTAGTCACTGTTGAACATGAAGCATGTAGGAGCTACAGCTCAACTTGATCGGGGCCACTCAACAAATGTGGGGCTGGGGTATCCTTGTGTTCTGAATTTTTTCTTTGCCTTTAGATTCCAGACTGGAAAAGCATTAAATTGATGGTTTTGGTTGTTTCACTCCCACTCGTAGAAGTTACTCTTTCAGGTACTACCTTCTGCATGATTTCACTTGCTCCTGCTACTCTCTGCTTCCTATGGTTCCTAAGTATTCCTTGCTGATACTGGGACTGAGGTATTCTGGCTGCTGAAGAAAGATGGAGAAGATAGTTAAAAATAACTTTTCAGAGGAAAGATGGTGACATTTTGGAGATGTGAAAATATAATGATGATGATTGTTCTGTAAATAAAAAGAAAACACATTCTCCCACCACTGATCATCTTAAGAATGAGAAGACGGATTTTTAAATAGCACAGGACTGAAGAAGTTCATTGGCTGTCTTGATTTAACTCACTATCACCAAACTACAATTTGTTGTCCTTTGATCAGTATAAATAGTAGGGAGCATAGTTATTAACTCCATACAGGAAAAAATGGACAATGCTCTCAATAAAATCACAAGTGTGCAGCCTAATCTTTGTGAGCCTCAGAAACTAGACAAAGGACTTATTCATGTGCTAGCATGTTTCTATGTGTCATACACAGTAGAAGTTGAATTTGATCTGAAAAGATTCATTACTGAATAAACCACTATTTTGTATTTTAGTAACAGTCCGAAGTGTAGGAGGTAGAAATTGCTGAAATTGTAGAAGTAGATAAAGAAAGGAAGAAATAGAATATAAACAGTATGCAGGAAGGAAGGTTAACAGTAAATAAAATAAAGCTGGAAGAAATATTGGAAGCTAAAATAATGTGACTGGTTTCCTATTCTTTTACAATGTTTGGTTACATCACATGGTAAAAATAATGTTAAACAATATATTGCAATGACATGAAAATGTGTAGATGTAAAGTGGCCATAAATTGCTGTAACTCCTTAAACATTCTTGTGTTTTTTTTGGGTGAAGATTTAGTTTCTTTTTTTCCTAAGTTTATCCACCAAGACTTGCCATAAATATCTTCAAATTAAACTAATTAAAACTTTTTAAAAGCTATTTTAAAATATATTGTTCCAATATCCTCTACTCTGTACTGTTTGTACTCTATAAAATGCCATGCTGTAGGTTTTTAGGAGATAATAATCTGCAAAATGAAATAGTCAGTGTCCAGGAAGAAACTATTAAAGTATATCACAAGTGAAAACAAAGAACAATGGGTTACTGGGAACTAGACATCGGGGAAATACCTTAATGATAGAAACCATGATATTACCAACTAGTATGTAATAAACTCCTTACCAGATAGTAGCTTGGGGAGAAAAGGTCTCAGAATTGTAACATTATAATAAAACTAATTTGACAGTTCCTTCAAATAAAAGAACTGCTTCCACTTTTAAAGACTAACTGGAAGGGAAGTATCCCAAGGCAAAAAATGCACAATGAGCATTCCCATCCACCCATTTATAAAAATAATAACTTTATTTCTCAGACTGGAAAGGCTATGTAAAGAGCCTATCAGACTGGGAATCTTAATGGAGAAAAAGAAAGAATCACTTGGGGAGAAGTTCTACAGCATAAAATTCAGAGTAGAGGTTTTGTACATTCACTGAACCCTGAGGGTAGAGGTGGGTTATTAAATTAGAGTAACCCAGGGGGAAAAAATATCTTTACCTATCTGTAGCTGTAGATACATGTATAGCTATCTAATCTATATCTACATCTATTTGTGCTATGAAATGGAATGTGACTTTCATAGGGAAGATACATGTGATTTAAATGTGGAAGAAAAAGTACCTGTCTGGTTAAAAAATAAATAAAGTGAGGGAAGGGCTGAAAGCATACGTAGGTATGTGCACATGGGCAGGAGTATCTTAAAGCTGTTGACCCAAATTAAGTGGTTCATCTATGGTGAAGGACGGTTTTTGTTTTGTGGCAAAAGAAAAACATCCAGCTGTCTTTCTGGTTTCTTTTTCTTTCTGCTATTTGTTTCTTAGATAATGCAGGCTTATCCTGATTGGAAATGTGCTGTATGTTCAGGAGAGCCATCAGTGCAAGAACAGAGGCAAAGCTATAGATAAATTCAGGCCTGGCTGAAAATTCCATAAAATGAGAAGCCAGAGTAAAAATCGGTTAAGGAAATGAGAAGTAGGTTGTACTGGGTAAACAGTACAGATGGAAAGAATCTTGACAATAACAACTACTCACAAACCCATTCCTGGGAACAAGACAACATGGGAACCAGAAGCAGAAGATTATGCAAAGGTATTGCAAAATATGAGTTAAAGAGTGAAGGAAAAATACTTTTCTGATCCCATCCAGAAATTGACTTTCTATTAATTGAGAGAACAGTCAAAGTTGGCACTGAAGTAGTCTCAACAAGTAATTTAGTAAAAGATATGTATTTTATTGTAGTTTGATAGATGATAGTTAATACTGATAAGTCTAATTAGTCTTACATTTATGACTCATTCTGTATATTTCAAAAGTACAGATTGACAATATTTCAGGTAATGAAAACTGTGTTCTGTTTGTGTACACTGAGTATGATTTCCTGTGAGTAACAGAATATTATAATACAGTTACATATTTCTGGCCAATGTAAGAAATACATGCAGCCTTAGAACTACCTGTTCACATGAGATGCTACTAATCACAACCAAGTCAGACTAATTAAACTTCGCTAATTTAGTTTGTACAGCTATTCACATTAGTATGCTTGAAAGACAAACTTCTTTGTTCTATTTCATTTTATTTTATCTTGAGGCTCATAAAATCATGGTATTTGGCAGCATGGAATAAGGGACATTAAATCAGCTTTTATGCTATTGTTAAGGAACCCGTAGAGGATGGGATTCAAGCAGCAGGACATCATGCCCAGCAAATGACATATGCAATATACTAATTTAAAATGTCTGTTAGAAATGAGAGTGGCATTAAAATCCGTCACAACATGGAAAAGGTGAAGCGGCATCCAACTGAAACCAAAAACAAGGATTAGCACTGTCAGTCTGCAAAAAACTCTCCTAGATCTAGTTTTAATTCTGACGATGGATTGGGATACTGTAATCATGTCCTGGATCTCTGTGTTTTCTTCTGGTTTCATCTCAAAACAGATAGGTACCCCTGGGATGAATTTACTGGAGGAAGAAAGCTGGCTTTTTTCTGTGCCAGAGGTTTCTGGGAGGTCTCTGAAATTAGTATTATCCTGATGGTGCCTTAAAATAGCAGGCATCACACTGGAAGTCTTTTTGCTGTATCTCCTGTGGTGCTTTCTGACCAAGGCGCAGCTCCACCGGGTGTGGCTGGAGGGCTGTGTCTGAGTGCCCGTACTCTTAGATGGGTGAAGTGTGAGGTTTATCATCTCGTTTTCTTGGAACTTGTCTTCCTTGTTGGACAGCCTGGCACCTACACTCCTGCAGACGCTGGTGTGACTTGCAGTTAAACACACGAGGGGGAGTATATACTGCATGAACAGTAAGGATATGGTAAAGGCAATTCTGTATGAGTCAGAAGGCCATGACTCAATACACAAGAGCCTGTTTTCCAGTGCCTCTAAATTCAGAGTTTTGCTGAGGTCCACAATTTTGTGGAAAACTGGCAGAGGGGAGCAAATGGCACAACCGAAGGCCCAAATGATTACTATTAAGAAATAGCCTTGTTTTGCTGTTAGATTGCTGGCGAGGGGATATTTTATCATACGGTATCTGACTGCGGCGATGGATATTAGCATTAAAGTTGAAACTAAAACGGATGCACATTGGAGGAAGGGCATTATGTGGCACATGACAGTGCCAAACATCCACTGGTCAAGCAGGACAGATGTCAGCGTGAAAGGAGAACAAAACAGCACAACTAAGATGTCAGAGAAGGCCAAGTTGCCAATGAGGATGTTTATTATTGTCTTCTGCTTGCGTTTTGTTAGAGCCATTAGTACAAGCAGGTTTCCCACAAAGCCAGCTAGGCTTATAAGTGTGTATAGCCCAATGAGAAAGTACTGTATGTCATCGACACTGCTCCTGTAGTCTTTCCAGGCAGAAAAATTATTTGTAGCAGCAGAAGTGTTCTTGGTGGGTGTCCTGTTGTTATGGTCTTTGAATCCTAAATCCATTTTAAAGTCCTGCTTAGAACAAGAAAGGCATTAATTACCAACTGAAGTAAAGATGATACTGGCGTTAAACAGACTGTAAAAAAAATAAATAAATCAACAACAACAACAAAAACATAATTTTACCTTGTATTACCTTAATGCAAATGAATTAATAGTAGTGAAGCAAATCCTGCATAACTTCACGTTAACACAAATTCATTTTGTAGGTTTTGTCATGTGGCGTTCAGCACACCTGGGCCTGGTAGCTGGCTGCTGAGACTGGACAATAACAATGTAAGGATACACATTATGAAGCTGGCTTTTAGCTGTGCTTTGCTATAGATTGTATTGTCAGCCTTCCCATGAGGGAGCAGTTAGCTACAAAAGCAATCCATTTAGAGCCAGGGAGATTACTCATGTGAATAACAGCTCATTCATATGAGTAAGGAAATTACAACCACCATTTGGGCATGTGCCTAGTCATTACATGACAGCAAACTATACTATAATGAGCGCACCTGAAAACATATGAAGTTTTGACATATGTTAACAACTGCTATAGTATTTCTTACCTTGCTACTAGAAAAGTGACACAAAATAGGTAAAAGATTTCAGAAATAATCAGTTTCTACAGAGATCTACTGTCAGTGCTCCAAGATGGAGCTCCTAACGTCATGTGTATACCAACCATCTTCTAATAAGTGTTGAACATGTTTTAACTGTTGCTCAGGCAGAAGGGAAAACTGCCTCCAAAACAGCTGAACAAAGCAATTTTACATAATACAAAGAGGGCAGTGTTAACTGTATGCAAACCCCACCAATCATTTGAAAATTCAAGAAATTTTCAAAGTATTCATCACAGAAACATCTACCATTGAAATCTAGCTCTACACGAAGTTTTTCTGTGTACAGAATCTCCACGTGATTCATCCTCATTTTAGAGGAAAGATAAAGACAAAAACAATCTATTTAAAATTCTGGTTTAACTTTAAAACCCACATGTATTAAAGTTTCAAAGTCAAAATTCCCCAAATTGCTTTGCATTTAGAAATCTTAGGCAAGACAATGCAAAAAGATCTAAACAAAACCAAAACATACATAAGTTGAGCAGAAGACTAAATTTGGCAACCAAAACTGGCAGATCTCCTCAAGAATGCAGCTGTTCTTAGAGGCCTGTGTCATGCAGACTTCTTCATAGTATGATAATATTATTGATTTCCTCTGTGCTTGCAGATGTGCTCCTTCCTTCACATCACCACATGTACATTCCTACCAGAGAGGTGCCATAGGGGATCTTGAACCATATAACACCCTCAGAAGATTCACTGGCAATGTGTTGTGAGGTAATCTCAGGTAAGATTAGAATTACTTATTTTTTAAATACATTTCAAGTTTTTAGGTCTTCACTAATATGTCGGGGGGAACTTAGCCTTGCCAACTTCTCACAATATTGAGCTAAAGTGTTTTTTAAGAACGTATAAAATAGAGATAAGGATTGGATATGTGAATTTAGGTAATCTAAATATTACAGTTATGCTTGTATGAGCTGGGTGGCACTAATGCAAATCACTGCTATTTAATTTTTCCCAGTCTTTCATGAAATAGGGAAAATCCATGTAAGAGACAAAAAAACATCATCTGAGACTATGCTCATCTTGAGACTAACTTTAAAGGAGCAGACTAGAGATTCCGTAAATCACCCAGTCTCTCTTTATTCGATACTGATAATACCGGAAATGTTCATTTTGGTTGGATTCTCCTTATACAACTATTAGCTTAAAAAGTAAATTATTTTTTTTTACTTAATTTTCCTGGGTCAATGTATCTGAGTTGCTAGCAATCATCTGAAAACAGTATTATCTGCAGACCACAGTGACTTCCACCATCAGCTGAAATTTCTTTCTGTTCTCTAAATGTGAGTCAACATAATTTCTGTCTGAGAAAACCAGAGCAGGTTTCTGCCTTGGATGAAATACATACCCCTACCTCAGTCGCATGGAATTACATCCCTCACATGTCATATGTCTATCTTTTTTTTATTTTTATTTTTATTTTTTTCCTTTATTCAGCATGGAGGAAGCACGAGGTTGACTAATGACTGATGCTTTTGCAGATTTCGGAGCGTGCGTCCAGCTGTAACCTGCAGACTTTTTTTGATTCATGAAAGTCATTTCAACTGTACATTGCATTTCTACATGAAATACTGCCTGCCTGACATTTTCAGGGTGAACAATCCATTATCTTTGCATAAAACCATTCACCTTGGCTAAGAAGTGTGTAGGAAAAACCCTTGCATATAACTGAGGAGTTAATAATGAAAAAGCCATTGGTGTAATTCTAGACAATTTTCTTTTTGTTTGCCTTCCTTTTGCCTTCCTTTTCCGGTTTATATTTTGCACAGACCAAGAGGGCTTTATGAGTTGAGCATCCCATTGCCAACTTGTCAGTTTGAAACTAAGCAGGAGTTATTTAAGAAATGGAAATGAAACTCTACTCAAGAGCTAGATCTGTTCAAGCCTTGGTTACTAACAAACCAGTCATTGCCTGAGAATAGGAAGACTAATAAGAAAGAGAGAAGTAAATCCAGTAGCATCTCGATACTAAAAAAAAATAAATAAAATAATTCTCAAATTCTTAAACTGCTCTTGAAGTGATGAAGACTCTGAAGGAAGGAGCTCTTCACTTCTTTTGTTTGCCTGCATATGTTAACCTTTGCCAAAAAAAAAAAAAAAATCATTATGCATTTTCTTCTATTTTAACTGATACTAGACTGAAGGACTACTCTGTAAAGCAGAAACAAACTGCAGATATTTCCCTCTCTTAGGAAGATTAAGATTGCTTTTAAAGTACCTACAGGTATTTTCAGTAATGGTTAAACTCTTATGTAGTTGAATCTGCCCAGCGGTCGTGCCAGGTGGTGACAGTGCACAGTGATGCTTAAGTTAAAGTAGTGAGCTAAGTTAAATAGTAGGCCTCTGAGGACAGTTATGTATGTACTGTGAGAGTTTTGTTGATCCCTGTACCCAAACTGAAGTTTTCTCACTAGACTTTTTGGTGGTTTCGGCTGTCATTGACAGGGTTCATCGGTGCATGGAGAAAGGGCAAGCATCCTAGTTAGTAGAAAAGACTCTCTAATTAGTTCATTTCATTCTAGCTATGTGTCTAAAGAGAAATCTGTATAATTTCATTCACTTGTGTTTAGCTGTGTTTAATTCTTATTAAGGAACTCTGAAGAAAATTTAAACAATCTGGTGGCATTGCTGTTATTTCCTACTGCCATTTTCACTTTTGGGTGACTTAAAATAAAAAGGAAGAGTCTCTCAAGACACACCACAATTATTTTCTCTCCCAAGAATTTATATTCAATAGATGTAATCCTAAGACTAGGGTCAAGGAGCAATGTTTTGTGTGTGTTGCTACACTGGAACATGTTTATTAAATGAATGTTTACTGGCTTCTTAAAGGCTTAATTAGATGATTGTTGGCAGGTTCTATGGATTCCTGCCTTCACTTAAAGACTGCAGTATGGCTTTAGCAAAGTTGTTCATCATGTTTTTAATGTAATTCTTGAAAAACAGAAAGTGAACATGTTGTTTTTGTTGAAGAAGAAATATTTTGCCAAGACACATCAATACTGAAAATGCTTAGCAGGAGTGCCTCTGAAGTCCAACCAGGGCTCAGCAGCTGCGTCCTACCAGTGCTGGGGCTGCCCTCTGTCCTGGGAGAGAGCTGGGAAGGCACCATCTCCCATATAATGTCCTGCTTTTCATGAGGAAGGAGCATGGGAAGAAGGCACCACGTGCACTGGTCAGGTACTGATTGGACACTGTACACCAGAGCACTGCAGCCACTGCCTGCACCCTTGACCTGTAGACACAGTTTGTTTCAGACTGACAGAAAGAAAGGGAAGGACAGGCATAAAACCACAGTCTTCTGATTTCCACGGAAAACTGTTGTGCTGACAGAAGTTTCCTTTGCAAAATGCCCAAACAGGTTTTATTTTCATTTTTGGTTGTGTGAAATGAAAGCAGGCTTTTCTCCAAAAATTGCAAAGTGGATCTGTTGCTCTCCAAGCTTCCTCTCCTGCTCAGAGGAAACACTTGCTCACTCAGCCTGAGTGCCACTGGCAGTAACGATGTAAAAGGAACAATGTGTGCCTCCCATATCAGTGATCCGCTGTCCCCAAGCTCGTCTTAGCATACCAATGACTACACAGGGATCTATGCACTTACTGGCATTTTTATTTCTGCTTATTTTGTTTAACAGTTGCTTCTCTTTATTTATTTATTTATTTTTAAGGACTCACTTACTCTCCCTTGATCATTGAAGTTGGGCAGCTCCAAGGTAGCACGTGTAATGTAGCTTTCAGAGAAATGAGGATTCCTGAAAGTTCCACTGTGGGGAATAGAATTAAATGATATAGCTGCTTTTGAAAACATTGTCCTCAAAATTGAAGTGTATTTCTAAACTCAATGCACCACGGTGCCAAGGTGTTCTTGTGCCTATATTCAAGTTCAAATTTGATCAGTCTGAAGGTACCTGATTTGTTTTTAGCTGGTAGTTCCAAAATTTGGATTATTTTCATCTCCTACATCAATCAGTCAGTAGCATTTCCTGAGGGCATCTGAGATCCCCCTTCTGCATTGCTGGTCTGCATATATCCCCTGGGACTGAGCTCAGCTACACCTGTAGCTCCCACAGTGGGAGCATCAGCCAGATTTGCTCCGGTCTCCTTTAGTTTCAATAGGATGCGGGAGGCAGAAGGCTCAGCCACACGAGACAGGAGGGACTACTGACCAAGGCTGGATATAAACATTTACTGCAAGAATCAGATTAACTCAGTAAACATTAAATGCAAGGACTATTTGCAGTTAGCTTTTACAGTATAGTGTATTTTATGATGGCTGATATACTACAATCTCAAAAGATCTTAGGCTATACCTCCTTAAGTCACGTTCATCTGTGATGCATCTTAATGTTACCCTTAGAATGATGTTGCTCTTGTTTTCACCAGAATCGTGCTTCAGAGATGTTTTCAATTGTAGTTGATGTAAGGTCTGAGTAACAGATGGAACTTAGAATATTTTTCAGGTTTAGCTGGATTAAAGATATCAGATAACATAGAATATGCTAGTTTAATACTTAACATCTTGAAATTCATCTCCTTATTCCACTTAAAGCTGTTGCTTAAAATACAATATCTATAAAACAGAATTTAGTAGAGTGAATACACCAGCTATTTCTGTTTCTTTACATATTTAAATGGAAATTGTCAGGAATACGCAAGTTAGGCTGGCAGCCATCCTCCACTGAAGGCATTTGCTCTGTCAGGAGATCTTCCTTCTGCTAGATGAGATGCTCATATTAAGGCTTAATTGTGGATAAGATCATGTATCCTACGATATTAATACCTATTAAAATAACTAACTGGCTGGTGCCTGTACAGTCTGTTCAGTCTATGTCAGAGAGCCTGTCCAGGACAATTTATCTTCACTGCTGAGAGCATCTTAGTCTTGGAAGTCCTTCCTCTACCTTAACAGCAGGAGAGGATATACAGGGAGAAAGCAAAACACAAAAAATCCCTTTGAAACACAGCCCCCCAACCCTGTATTACTGGAGTGTATAGGAAAAAAAATGTCAGAGTCTTTTATAACTTCTGTGTTGTAAAATTCTGCTAATGAGCTGGGCTGCGCTGCCTGACCACCTAAGCTTAAGGGAAGCACTGAGCTGTGTCGTTACTACCTGAGCAACTGTGCCCCATCTCAGCAGACAGACAGGGTCCGAGCCCCACACCAAAACCACCGATGAGCTGTGTTCACAGCACGGTCTGAAGATCAAATGCTGCTGCTGCAAACGCAGCTGCTCTTTACGTGCAACAGCAAAAGCTTGTCCATGGAGCCGGGAGAGTTCAAAAGATTCAGCTCACTTCACAAGCCCAGAAATATTGATTTTCATGCAAGCTAGTGATAGGTCTCTTGACATGCCTAACTCAAAGAAGAATTGCAACATTATCCCGGAACACGAGAACATGGCTTCCCAAAACAACCAAAAGCCATCTAATGAGATTATTTCCCCAGCTCCAAGGAAGTGCGAGGCAACTTAGCGGGGCCTTTGCTGGCCAGAAGCAGCAAACTTGGGATGCGCTCCTGCATCCTGTGGCGTGGGGTCAGCAAAGGATGGATTCACAAAACCAGGTGGGACAGTCACCCACCCACCCTGGCATCCTTTTGCCCTTCCACAGCCCTCTCGGCCACCCGCACTGAAGTGAAACCTGGGCTTTCTGCACCCGCTGCGCGGCCTCGGCACTTAGATGCAAATTTACACCTCTGCCCCCTGCCCACCCCGCTGCCCCCTGCTCACCTGCAGCCACGGGGAGCCCGCTGCAGAAGGGGCCGCGAGTGCGCAGCCCCCAGGCACCGCTCATAGCCCCGGCACGGCTCTGCGGGAGCAGGGCGAGGATGCCCGGCAGCGCATCTTATGCGGGTGCTGCGGAGGCGCCAGGGCCAGGCACCCGGCAGCTGCTGCTGCTGCGGTGCTGGGTGCTCGGTGCTGGGTGCTCAGCCGGCCGCCGCGCGGGTGCATTTCGGGAGAGCGCTCCGTGCGGGGTCTGGAGCCTATTATTTCCCTGCTGCATGCTCTGACAATTAGAGTTTCCATGGAAATGCAGTGAGACTGTAAACAAATCCCGCGCTCGCCTGTATTTAAGGGATGCTTTCTCTTATTTATTTATTTTTTTTTCTTTCTTCCCTGTCTGATTTCAGGACGTTTTGCAAGGGTGAAATTCTCTACATGTTGTGGGACATCGGGAAGTCTGAACAGAGCCCGGCACTCACAGGGGGCTGCCCCAAGCACTCTCCGGTTCCCCCCACTTTGGCTGGAGCGGAGCCTTGGAGGCATCCATCCATACTGCTCGAACAGCCTTTAGGTTTTGCCGTTATTTTAGAACAGGTGGGAGGTGATGGATTCCCCCAGACAGTTCTCCTTTCTGAGGTGAGTAACTCAGTTCTTACAGCAGCAAATATCTGAAGGGTGGTTTTACTTTTTTTCTGGGCCATCAGCAGGAAGTCAAGCCTTTTCTTTTTTTTTTCTTTTTTTTTTTTTCTTTTTTAAGCAAGCAATATTTTAAAAATTGTGGGGCATTTCATAGCACAAAACATGAAAAGACAAATTCTGCCGTTCGCACCAGCCGCTGCCTTCTAGCACGAGCAGTGCCATTGATCATAGCCCAATTACAGGACTAGCGGAGACCTGAGTGATGTGCAGGTCTCTGGGAGCACAGGTGGCAGAATGTGACACGAGGATGTAATGACTTTTCCATTTGCCAAGGCACTCCTTAGACAGTTGATATTAACACGGTACTGCAGAAAAGCTGTCAGTATAATTAGCCAGTGACAAACTGTACCGCACAAAGACAAACCAGCTGGATCAACCATCTTGTGAAATAGCTCTGAAAGTCCAGTTAGGTTCCTTATTTAATTTATGTGGAAAAAAACATTCATTTTAGGGTATGTGCTAAAGGAACAATTAACCTCAGTCTTCATCGGCTGAGCTCAGTATGGCAGGGAAGATTGCGTCCCATATTCTTTCATCCGCTCCTGCATTATTCACCACCCACTGCTGGTGAATCACTGCATGTGCAAGCGGAGCACAGGGAGCTGCCAGGTGGAAGTGACGTGCCAATCCATCTCATCATTTTAAGACAGCTCTCCTGTTAGTCACAAAGGAGACCTAAATTAATCCTTGTTAGGGCTGAGCAGCAGTTCTTAATGATTTTGCCCATCTTCCCACCTAACACTGGTGCCTTGGAAGCTTTTCATACACATATTTGACCTGAAGATAGAAACCCACCCTAGTTCTTACCTCCTATGCAGGGATTTAAGACCATCTCCCAGGGCACAGATTTAACTGGGTGCCCCTTGTTCCAGGGGAGTTTCCCACATTGCTGACCCTTCTGCTTGAAGTAGGAGTTCCCTCCTAGAAAGAGGGAGTCTTTAGGGACACCGTGTCTTTCTGACTACAGCAAGCTGAGGTAGCTTTTAAAAACAAACAAACAAACAAAAAAAAACCAACAAACCAACCTGAATTTGCTGGAAAAGCCCACAAATGGGAAGTGATGGGATCTTGCATCCCCCAGCTATGATTTATGTGGGATGCTATTGTACCTTTGTGAAGGTACAGCCTACCTTCACGCTGACCATAAGGTGGGCATTCACCTCTTATAGTTTCCCAAGCAGCCTCTAGAAATTACATGCTCCTTAGTAAAAGCAGTCAGTAAGAAAAGGGTTTGTTCCTCAAAGCAATTTTCTATAAGAACGAAGCATCCTACCCATCTTATTTCAGGAGAGTTCATCAACCAATAATGTACTGGCAGGTGTTTTTTTTTTAATTATTATTATTTTATTTTATTTTTTCTCCTTTAGCCCTGGACCTGTAAATAACACCAGATTCTTCCTCTCAGCTGTATTTGGACAATTCACTGCTAATATTTGTGTCCATGAGAGACAATTACTATTCAGACCATTCGCATATTTTTCCTTTTCAGTGGTTGTGAACCTCTGAATTGCCAGTAATACTACTGAATAATAAAATAGGTGATCTACAGATAGGAAACGTACTGACATTAGAGGACTGGCAACAGATAATAGCACAAGTTCCCTAGAAACCAGCCTTCATGGGGTTGTTGAAACCATGGAGGAGTCCTTGAGGAAGTGAGAGATAGTGACGATGAAAGATAACTGCTCTGGAGGAGCTGGGGAAGAAAAATGAGATTTCTGATTCAGAAGGACACAAAAGAAAATGCAGGACAGAACTCTGCTGTTATAGAAATACAAATGAACTGTGGCATGTTTCTAACCTCATTCCCAAAGATATCTTTCTTTTGGGAGTATTATCCCAATATATTTGAGAATTTAGCTTCTAAAGGCTAACTGTGAAAGAATGAAGAATCTAAGCTCTATCTGAAGTCAGCGAGAACCGATGAATGCCACTGAAATAGCAAGTTGTAAGCCACTGAACAACCAAATTCCACAGCATGCAGTTGTCGCCCTCAATTGAAGCTCGCCATGAGTCACAGTCTGATGTTATTTTAAAGTTTGCTACTGATAGAGCCCCTATCCATCAACAAGACAACCCAAAATAGTAGGATGTAACTACTGCAGAATTTGAGGTATTTTATGAGATGCATATAATGCGTTCTTGTTGGTTAAAATTTTCCTCACATGTCCACACAGCTGATCATCCCACACATGTAAAAAATGCAATTAAAAATACTGGCTGTGTTTTGCTTCTGGGGATACATGTTTGGCCTGTCCCTTCCACAGGTTATTACCTTGTGTAAAGCAGCTGGGTGTGAAGGCAGTGAGCCATGGACTGCTGAAAAGGTTGCAATGTTTGAGATGTCTTTGTAATGAGACAAGACATCTGATGGTTAGCTAGTAAAATACTTCTAAGGACGAGCATTTTTGTTGCCTAACAGGCATTGTCACGTTTGTTGGCTGGTGTTGTATGCATTGAATATTGATGCCACTTTTGGATCATCATGCAAGGGCCTATTTCCGCTTCATTTGAAGGCAGGTGGGAGCTTGTGTTTGAGTGTACGTGAGTTCAGTCCCTGAATGCAGAGAAAGTGGGATGGCCATAGCAGAAAACATGACTTAGAATTTTAGCCAGGTAACATCTCAAGCTGTCTTTCAGTAGCATTGCATATTTTTGGGGTAGCTTTATACTAGTTAGTTTGAGTTTATTATTGGAAGTGGAGCTGCAGCAGCAAGACACTCAGTTGAGATTAACCACATAATTATTCACACAGCTTCTTTGCATTTGTGACACCAGCCTTCAAGTGAAGTGTTGTTATGTTTGGTGTCAGTTGCAGTCATTGCAGAATAAACATGCTCTTAGCCAGAGAATTTGCTGCTGTTCTTATTGTATTCAACAGTAAAATGTCTATTTAGTCTACTGATGACAGGCTTTTGCCCCAAGGACCACAAGTTCCCTTATCTGTGAATCGTGTAACATGAAATGAAAGCTTTTCAGTGGTACTGCAGTTCCTTACTAGGAAATGGAAGCAATAAAAATAAATAAATAATACAAAAAGCAACAACCACCAACCATCAGTTTTTCCACTCAAAATAGTAGCAACTTCAGTTTGTTTTATATACAGTAAAAAACACAAACAACTCTCAAGGTGTTCTTTTACTCTGTGGATATTAAGTTTTAGAGAGGGATTGTGTTAGCTTAACGCATGACAATGCATTGTAGTGAAAGTGACAGCCTCGTTTTATGATGTTTTTTATGGATTTGAGAGTTACAGTGAGAAAGCATTTTAATGGGTTGATCTCTTGGCATGTTTTTTCCATGTGTTTCTGCAAAACGTCTTGTTCCTTTCTTTGTCCTATTACTTCAAAGAAATTCTGTGTTCTTTTACTCATGCTGTTCTATTTCCTTAGTTAAGATGATTGTCTTCTTTTCATTGTACTTCTCTTTTTGCAGTGTCACGTCTTCACACAAACACGCACCATCAGTCCTCCAGCCTGGGGTGCCTGTGATGCACTGAAATAATGTGCTCCAAGGAAGAGGATAATCTCCTACATGGTGCCTATCTTGCTACTCCAGTGTTCTCACGTCCTGACAACAATTGGCAATAGAATAAGAGTTACTGAGGAATTATTTGACATCTTTGTGAATTTGGTGCTCCAGTTGGAGACAGTCAGCTACGTGCTGAGACAAGATGCACAGAATGGCTGAGAACTGCTAAAACCAGAGTTTCCTTCAGAACTTACCTGATGCGATGCAGCTTTTAGTGCATAACATGCATTTTATATATCTATCTAATGAAAAACCTTTGATAAGAGCATGTTTCTGTGTTTTAGAGTGATTATGTATTAGTGTTTTATTGTTCCCATATATGTGAAATTCTTTGGAGAAGATTGGCATAGTTCCTACAGAATCAGTCTTCTGAGGTGAGCATACAGCACAGAAAGCAAGTATGGCAGAGCAGGAGGTCTGTTGTAAGACTGTTATAGCATGTACGTATATATATAGATAGATATATACACATATATGTTTGGAAGACTCACACAGCCCTTTCTATTGCTCCCCTGCTCTGTTTCAAGCACCCACCTGCAGCATGAATAACTCCATGAATGATTGTTGCTATAACTGTAAGTTCAGGTCACTGAGTTTGTGATGTGTAAGGTCTATCTTCTGTGTCTTTTAGGTAATAATTATTTTTATATGGTGTAAAAAAGTATTGTGAGGCTTGCTTCCTATGTTTATATGACGTATGAAATTCTTGTGTAGACTGACCACTATGACAAAACATTATGAATCACTTCATTTACTGACGAAATGGAGATTCTCATGATTAATGACGAAATGGAGGAAAAAAGATTGTACCTGCCAGAAACTTTTCTCTGGTGGGCACAATGTCATTTCTCTGTTTGGGTTTTGCTAGGACACCAAATGTAATGCCTTTGTGGTGGGTTTACCTTACCAGGCCCCACCACACCGTTCTCTTACTCCTTTTTCTCCATAGGACAGAAGGAGAAAAAGCAAGATGGAAAAGGTCATGGGCTGAGATAAAGACGGGGACATCACTTATCAATTACCATCATGGGCAAAACAGACTTGGACAGACTTGGCTTGGTGAAGATTAATTTAATTTATTACCAATTAGAAGTAGAGTAATATACTGGGAAATAAAGTCAAAACTACAGAAACCTTCCCCATTCTCCCTTCCTCCCAGACTTAATTTCATTCATTCACTCTTAACTCTTCTACCTGCTCCTCCCTAAGCAGGAGACTGCAGGGCAATCAGTAATACCTTGGATAGTTCCACACCCATAAGAATGAGTGTCCTCATTTGTATGTGTCCTAAACTGTTACCAGTTTAGGATTAAATATGTTTTTTATGGGATCCTCATCACTAGCTTAGTTTTTTTTGGGTTTTTCTGCCTAAGCACATCCACCTTTGCTCTGCTCAGACGGATTCTGGTGCATGCTAACGATCCACACATAACCGAAGTTCTCGAGAGGCCTGCACTTATCTCCTGGCTGCTGGTGGTAAATGTCAGCAGAGTGAAGCAAAGCTAATTTACAGCTACGTTCAGAGCAGCCCTGAGGTATGCCTGCACTTTCCTTCCTCACGTTGAGGGCTGCAGGTTAGATGCAGCTGAGCTGAATGCCTGTAAATACAGGAAGAACACAAACAAACCTTCCCATGAGGCTTATTCTGCAAAACATGTTACAATCATTTATTGCATGTAACTATTTTTTCTTAGCAATAATTAACACAGATACTTGCTTGAGAGCTATCCACAACATAACAGAGCATTGTCCTATAACAGAGGTATTGTAACTGGAACTCCTCGCACTTGAAAAATTAATCTGGATCCTTGGAAGAGTCAGGGCACTTCTGTTTTACATGAGTTGCAAAATCCTAATACAGCCTGCAGGGAGACATTTTTCAGGTGCTGTTCAATAAACCTGAGTTGATCTGGGTACCTTTTCTCCGACTTCTGTACTAGCTTCCAAACTCCCTGTTGTTCTTGTTTGTTGTTGATGGTGGTTGGTTGACTTTTTTGCTTTTTATTTTTTAATGCATATTAAAATAGATCTTCTGCAGAAGTGCCTCTTGTGCGTGAGAGCCATGTATTTCACGATCATCAAAAGAGCGAATGGCGAATAAAATCATTATTTTCTTTTTATGAAGTTGCCCCATAAGCAGTAAACTAGACTCCTACAGCTGCTGATAGTTTGCAGAGCTATTCAAGCCAGCTGCGTATAAAAGTCTGATTGATGGAAACTGCAGTTTGTAAAAGCAGCAGCAGAGCTGGCCAAAGCTGTAGCCGCTGACTTTCCAGCCCTGCATCCACCAAGGAGCTTTGCTCTCTGCTGCCACGGTCCCATTTTCCTTCCAGCCCATTTGGATATCCCCCTGCTGCATATGAACCCCATGGCTGGGATGAATGGCCCTGCAAGAGGGCCAGAGCAACAGCTGAATTTTCATGAGGTTTGAAACGTTGACATTTGGGTTTTAGAAGAGTTTTATATTGCATCTAACTGGAAAAAATAAATAGCAACGGTGGCAACTTGACAGTTCTTCTCAATCCATCCATCTCCCTTCGTGCAAAATGAAGACCAGGAGCTGGCTGTGCTGGTTTACAAACTTTGTGAAGTTGCTCTTCGGACCTGAAGCCGGCTCCTAGCTCCCTTTCCCCAAAAAGCTTCCCGTTCCGTCCTAGCTTTGGCCACGAGGTGGCAATAACTTGCAAACAAAACGCTGAAACTGCCAGGCAGCAACTGGAAACTGTCTCCCTCCCTGAGCTTTTCGCTGAGCTCTTTCCCCTCCTCTTTTGTTTCAATATTTAATTGCATTTATTTCGGAATTACTAGGCAACCCACCCCCAGATGTGTAATTTAAAGGTGATGTGCTTGCAGTGAGATTTCCAGGATCCGCTCAGCAGAGCACCATCCATCATGTGATGCTGGGATAAGGTGGAGTTCGGCTTTAAGGGGGAGTCTCCAGTCTTCCTCACCCAGCTTTGGGATCTCAGCTGGAGGAATACCACAGGATCCTTCCCCTCTCCCTGCTCCTCAGACAGCCCTAGAGAAGACCAAAGGCAGGCAGAGAGCTGCAAGGTGAGTTTCCCCTGGGGTTGCTCCCGATGCTGCTTGGGCTGGTGGTGCTGGCTCTGCTAGGTGCAGGTGACAAAGCCCCATGTGCCAGGTGGGACCTGGCCGGGTGGACCATGGGCTTGGGCTGACAGCATTTAGTCCTTTCTTTCAAAGAGCTCCAGGAGTTTTTGCAGCCTGCTGCTGGTCGAGTCACACCACCTTATTTCACCCTTTCCATCCGTTGGTGCTAAACTTTTGACTAAAATCCTTCGGGAGAGTCGGAGGGGTGTGTGGAGTGGGGGAGACTGTGCAGCCACCCAGAGGGATCTGCAGAGCTGTGGGCTGCCCCCGGCCCATGTCAGCTGCTGGGATGGGGAGGAAAGTCCCTGCTAGTCGGGGAGCCAGCGGAGTGGGAGACAGGGGACAGCACAGTGGGCCAGGAGAGGCAACTTCACCCTTCCTGCTGTCTGGTCCCTTTGGGAGAGGTGGACAGGGAGGGATGGAGGACTCCTTGCTGCCAGGGCTGTGTTTGTGAGCTGTTTCCCAGCCGTGGTCCTAGGCTGGGTCTCAGCTGTGGGGAGCGGCAAGGTGAGGAGCAGTGGCATTTTCTGGGTTTGAATTTGTTATTTAATAAATAAGTGAGAGCAAAGATTGGCTAAGAAGAATTAGAAACAAGAGCCTGGAACCAAGGCCTGCCCCTGTGCTGAGTGCAATGAGCTGGTGAGAAAATCTGGCCAGTTCTCTACTTGTTCCCTCACCTGTCCTGCTTCTGCCGTTTGTCCCATCGTGTCCCAGGCTGGACCGTCCACCTTGCACAGTACAGGTGGCAGGGGAATAATTAAATCCAGATGTTGATTTTCAGGCTGGGGTAAAATCATACCTGTTGGAAATCAAGGAGTTCTGACTCCACATCACCTGCATGCTTGTCCTTTGGTTAGAGCACCTACCTCAGGCTCTGGCTGAAGCAACGCTTCAGGAAGCCCTGTGGGAGGCTTTTTCTTTATTGGGCCCTCAAGCAGACTATGTGGGACGGGGAGACCTGGTAAATTTAGTTAGCAGAGGCATCAGGTCTGAGAAATAATGCTCAGGTGCATGCCTAGGTAGCTTGCAAATCAGAGTAACCAAACCTCAGGCAGAGATGCCGTTCCTCTGAAGCCACTGATGTTAACTCTGTCAGTAAGATGTCACTCGGAGGCAGGCTGCGTTGCCTGTCAGGGTTCCACAAAGCCATGTGGTGATTAGAGACAGCCTGCAAAGCCGTCTGAGGTAGTAAGCCTGGGGCACCGGTGACAAGACATCATGATGGCAGGGTCATCTTTTTGCTGACCCTCAGGAGAAGCTAGAGCTGCAAGCCCAGCACAGGGCTGGCTGAAAGGGTGTCTGCCACTCGGAACAGGTAGAGGGGACTTAGATGGCACCAGGATTTATACCAGATATCATTTAGGACCCAAACACACCCATTCTGGGTAACTTTTAATGAAGTACAGTTCAGTGTGTTATGTTTTTGCAGCTTTTGTGACAAGTGCCATATGGAGCTGGGTTTAGAACCCACTTGCGTGAATTTTAAGTGGCATCACTTTCTTTTCGTTACCATAACCTAGGGTTGCATGAGCAACAAATTTAGCTTATGGGGAAGGGGGCAGAGGCAAACTTCCAGATTCAGGGTGGTTGCTGTTAACAGTGAGTTGGAGTAGAGGTGTGTAAGGTTATTTCTTTTTTTTTTTTTTTTTTTTCCTCCTGAACACATACACCCAAGTTTCTCTGATTTTAATATTGGAGGCCTTGCAAAGCAGTGCTTATTTATCCATGCCTATTTATATTGCACGGATGTGTGCTCTGCAGTGCTTATTTTTTGCTGGCTTTTCTTTTTTTTTCGTTTCATTTTGTATTGTTCTTCCTTCACTGTGCAATCCTGCTAGCTGAGATTAAGGTGTTCAGAGCTCCTGATTTGCCTTTGACTCAGCACCAATGCTGCTGTGGGCGCCTGTCCACTCAGCATCCACTGTATGCATTAGGTGAAAAAGAATGCAGCAGTTTGTGTCATGATTTTTCCACCCCTCAGGTGTGGTTTTCCCCCCTGTTATGCTGTGGCTGGGTATAATTGCACTTAAAGCAGCCTGAGGAAGCAGGTCTTCACAAATAAAACTTGTAAGAAGGAGACCTAAAACATCAAACACAGGTTATGCTGCTGTAAGACTGAAGTTGATTCTCACCTTCTTATTTCATGTAACTTGTGCTAGCGAGGCAGTATTGGGAAGGGCTGTGTTCCCGGATGGCAGACTCACATTTTGACTTGCCTCCTTTCTTTCCCTGGCCCTCTGCCCCGATCCTGCTTAGGACAGGAGGCTGTGACTACCGCCCACCTCAGGGACCTCCCTGTTCCTCTCCATGGCCCCACGGAGAAGCGGTGCTATGGGGCTCAGGATGGTGGCAGCTGGGGGGTGGGGGTCACCCTGGGGTTTTCGGATGCTGGGGCAGCCTATATGCCGGGGGGGTGACTGGTCCTCCTTTTTCCCCCCAGGTCCTGCGAGAGAGATGTGGCACCAAGGGTCTCCTTGCAGGCTGATGGGCACTTTTCAAACACCGTGACAGGTTTGGATGAGACCTGTGGCAGCTGGGAATATTATACAGCAAGTTGGGAACAACATGAATGCTTCAGTTCTCGGCTCCCTGGGAAATAGTTCCAGCTACCTGAATTTTTCGGAGAAGAACTCGCAGATCTTACAGTTTGAGGATGAAGATTGCCACGTGCCTTTGGCCATGGTCTTCACCTTGGCCTTGGCTTATGGGACTGTGATAATTCTGGGAGTCTCTGGGAATCTGGCCCTGATTGTCATTATTTTAAAACAAAAGGAAATGCGCAATGTTACTAACATCCTCATTGTCAACCTGTCCTTTTCTGATCTTCTAGTGACCATCATGTGTCTTCCCTTTACCTTTGTGTATACCTTAATGGACCACTGGATTTTTGGGGAGGCCATGTGCAAATTGAACCCCTTCGTGCAATGTGCCTCAATCACCGTCTCGGTCTTTTCTCTAGTCCTCATTGCCATTGAGCGCCACCAGCTGATCATCAACCCCCGAGGCTGGAGGCCGAACAACAGGCATGCCTATATGGGGATTGCTGCCATATGGATTTTAGCCACGGCTTCCTCCTTGCCTTTCCTGATCTACCATGTGCTAACAGACGAACCCTTCAGAAACATAACGTTTGATGAATATAAGGACAAATATGTGTGTTTGGACCTCTTCCCCTTGGACACTGCCCGGCTTTCTTACACCACGACTCTATTGGTGATTCAGTACTTTGGACCACTTTGTTTTATATTTATTTGCTACTTAAAGGTAAGAGAGACCCCCCTCTGTGATATGTCCTTCTTTTTGTCTGATGTTTGTTTATCCTTACAAAGATTACAGCTGTAGGTTAAATTATCCCATATGTTTCTCTTTGTTGAATTTCCTGCAGATATACATACGATTAAAAAAAAGGAACAACATGATGGACAAGATGAGAGACAATAAATACAGATCCTCTGAAACCAAAAGGATCAACATTATGCTGATCTCAATAGTGGTTGCCTTTGCCGTTTGCTGGCTGCCTCTGACCATCTTCAATATCGTGTTTGATTGGAACCATGAAATTCTGCCCGTTGCTACCTGCAGCCACAACCTCTTGTTCCTCATCTGCCACCTCACCGCCATGATCTCCACCTGTGTGAACCCCATCTTCTATGGGTTTCTCAACAAGAACTTCCAGAGGGACCTGCAGTTTTTATTCCACTTCTGCCACTTCCGCTCCCGTGAGGAGGATTATGAGACCATAGCCATGTCCACCATGCACACAGATGTTTCAAAAACCTCTCTAAAGCAGGCAAGCCCAGTCGCATTTAAAAAAATAAATAGTGATGATGATGACAAAATATAAAAAAAAGTCATAATTCTACACCAAACCTCTGAAAGCGTGATCACAGGTGAAATATGTCCAAGGACAAGCACAACTATGTAACAAGTGCAAAATGGGTAATGCTTTTCTTCTTTTTCCAAGGAACTGGGATTGTTGTCGCTCTGAAATTATACGCTGTGCATTTTTGCCCCTTTTGCTGCTTTAATGTTCACAGCAGTTATATCTGAATCTTATTATATGATGTAGTTGAACCTGCTACTACCTGTGGTTTTCATCAGCTGTCTTTTGTTCTGTTTTCTTTGTACAGTTACGCACTTTAGCTCAAAGATATATTTATTGATTTTTATTTAAGGAAGTAGTTTTTGGGAGTGTCCATCTAAGATCATTAGAAATTATAAAATTACATGAGCCACAGGGAGACTGTCACTACAGAGGACACCCATCCCAGCTTGAAATTAGGACTTTTTGATCTGAAGAGTTGTTCTTTTATTTAATTTTTTTTTTTAATCTGGCTTTTGATCAATGCTAAAATCCTATAAAATCAGTAGAGGCATGCAGAAAATGATTCTGAGAAACCTGTAGAATATGGTAAATGGGGACATGCATTTGTTTCATTCACAGGGGCAATTTGGGCTGTAATCACTGAGGTTCAAAGACAGGATTAGGAGAGAAATTCTGTTCTCATTTACAAGAATAAAAACCTAGAGTAACTCTACAGAGCACAATGGGATAATTCTGATTTTCACCACAGCAAATGAAAGCACAAATGAGTCTTTAATCCCAAATGATTATGGCTGACTTTAATAATGTGGGCTTTTTAATTAAAAAAGTAAAAAATAAAAATAAAAAAAACAACACAACAAAAAAGCCAACTGCATTTTCATCTGCTGTCTCCAGAAGGCTGGGATGAAATTTCCTGTCAGTCCCAAGCTTATGAACCCTGAAAGTCTCCTTCTGTCCTGTATATGTCAGAAATCTGAAGGGAGATGGGAATGTTTGCTTTCTGTACAAGGTGCAATTCCATCCTCGCAGGTGATATTAAAAATCCAGGATTAAATATATATATATATATATATATATGGCTCTAGCTACCTGAATCTTTTCATAATAATTAGTGCTGATCTATATAAATTATGTATAGCCTCATAATGTTCTGTGTTCAGATGCAACGTTATAAGCCTGGATTTTCGCCAAGATGATGGATGGCTTAATCAAAATCTGCAAAATTTAAAAGGAGGACATAGTATGGTTGCAATCGGTATGTTTAGCTTCTGAACTCAGTTTCCACAGTTGACTGAAGTGCAGAAATATTTGCCAGATGTACACAATAGAGCTCTGTGTGTTATTGCTTAAAATATATAACCTCTAATTACACAAAATATATGTGACTAGATCCCCAGCTGAGGGAAACCTGCATAACTTGACTGCTGTACATGAAACTATAACAATTTCAGTCAGCTGAGGTTCTGCATCATACAGTGCACTTTGCAATATAATCAATGCCTTTTTGAGTAATCAGCTTTTTAAAATACAATTTAGTCCCTATTTTTATTTAGCAAGGTCATTTTAAACCATTCTGGCAGAGAAGAGGGTCTTTAAAATGGATATAAATGTAAATGTAGCATAAATGGGACTCAGATCTGATATGTCTCTGAACAAAAAGATCCCAGGATGTGATGGTGAATTTAATATGTTCTAAATTTGACATGGATAAATGCCTAAGAAATGAAAATTATTTGGTTTGCCAGTATTTAAAAGTCAAAAACTGTGCCTTGTGCAGTCTTATAAATAGTGTAGAATATTGAAGTAGCAATGTGTTCTTGTGTATTATAATTCCATGTATTTCTTTACTGACAGATAATTTAATTAAAAAAGGAGGCTTCTGTAGTTGAAAACAGAGAGGGAATGTATAAAATGAATTATAAGACAGAACTTTCTTTCAGAGCTTTGCCCTTTTGTATTTTATGAAATTTCCCTTTTCTATGTGGTTTTCTGTGGAGTGTGTTGCTGATAATTTGACAAGAGGCTCCTGAAATTATTCCCCTGTCATTTTATAGTCATTTTCTTATGCAAAGGGGTGTGTATTTTCACAAAGAGATACAATTCAGAAAACCAGCTATGTGTTTCTATTAAGAACGTCACAGTAGGTTTTCCTTATTGGGGAAAAAAAAAATCACCGTGCATTTTTTTTATTATTGTTATACCTATCGGGGTGGGGGGTGGGTATCGCTTTCTTCCAAACCGGTGGGAGAAGACAACAGAACAATTTGAGAAAGTTATCAGCTAGTTGGTTGGAAACGTTTGATTGGGCTGAAGAAGATGCTTGCACGGGGTAGGTGTTGGCATGACTTTAGAGTGCTGGTGTACAGAGACCTAGAAGTGGTGTGTCCTGAGATTTACAGGCCTGCAGTGGGATAGCAGCACAATTACCCCTGTGTCAACCTTCCTCCTGCTTGAGGTATGGTCTCAAATCATAGCGCTCATCTGATACCATCTCATTTTATATCTCCTGAGAGTGTGTTTAGTTTTAATTTTTTTTAACTTTCCCGTGCCCGATAAACAAGCTGAGGCTGTGCCAGCATGTGCAAGTTCAAGCATGCCTTTGGCTGGTCCGTGCTCAGCTCAGAAGCCATTTTTCAGCTGCACTGCTGTCCTAGGATCAGGCCTCTTTTCCATGCTTCCTCACGGCCCTGCAAGAAGCACTCTGCCTTCCTGAGGCGCTGCGAAAGACGCAGTCCATGCATGGTCACCCGAATAGCACAGGCCGTGGGCACTGTGCAGACAGTCTCAGCAGGAAAAGGCATTTGCAGAATTTCAGAAGCAAAGTCATCACTATTCAGAAGAAGTTTTTATGAGGACAAAGATAAAAGTAGTCTCTCTGAGGTGCTGACCTGACATCTGCAGGGTGTAGATGACATCTACTGAGAGCAGTATTTTTGTCTTTGGTTGTATGACGACACCAGAGTCCTCAAAAGCCACTGGAGACTTTCTCCTACTGACACCTGGCTACAACACAAATCCTCTTTCTCACTTTCAGATCTCCAGCATGGCTTCTCATCCTCTATTAAATTTCGTTATAGGGTGAGCTGTTGGGCTTCACGTTTCTCAGTCATTACAGTTTGGTATTTTTTCCTTTCATGTGCTGTTTTGTCCAGCTCTCCACACTTCAGCACATACTGAGTCCTGTCCCCAAAACCTGAAGATCTCTCTTTTTCTTTCAGACTGGTAGAAAAATTTTACTGACAGAAAAACATAATGGTGAGGGATCTATAATGTATCTCACTATTTTTGTGCAATACATTTCATGGCAAATCTACAGCCTTAAATGACAAATGTAACTGTTTAATAAACATTAATATCTGCTTCATTTGCCTGTTTTTTTATCATCTTACACTTCCCTTTTGTCTGCCACAGACATTTGAGTCTTCTGCATAATCATAACACACCAGCATTGTGTATGTCATTCCTAATAAACACTGCTGTATTCCCATATTCCCTTTTTTCCAATATATCTCTTGTGCATGTCATTGTCACTATGTACAGTAATCCACAGCTTTCATATGTTCATTTTTTTTTAATTAAAAAAAAAAAAGCAATAGGAAGAGGTGAATAATTGACATTAATATCTGCTTTTGGTGGGCTAGGAAAAAGATGGATGTGAAAAATCAGTCCCTGACCCTATTTTTTTTTCCTCCCACCTCTTTTAAAAATCAGTTCTAAACCAAGAAAAGGAATTAATGTGACTGGACCCTCAGGTCACTTGAGCTGATTCTGACTGCATTTCATGTCTGATGAAGGTGTGGAGGGCTAAGGGTTCATTTTTCCTGACTCTGCTGTCTTGCAATACTGTACCAGCTATTATTAATGTCTCTTTAAGGCAAAATTTGATACTGATTTATACTCAGACTGCAAATCAGCATACGTTTAAATCCAGCCCTGTTCATCTAATTCTGATTCTGACTTTAGGTGAATGTACTGAGATCAGTGAAACTGGAGAATTCGCTTAAAGGTAATCATTTGCCTAAGCACTCTACTGAATAACAGTGAACTGTTGGCATTCACATTCTTTTTTGGATTTCAGATTATTACAGAAATAAATTAGTGGCATATGGTTTTTCTTGGCAATTTTTCTCTCTCTCTTTTTTTTTTTTTCCTTTTTTTTTTTCTTTCTGTAGTCCAGTGCCTGTCAATACTTCAATTTAAGGCTTTGGTTCAACTCTTCCTAGATTCTTCATTAAGGGATTTAATCAATACATAGAGAAGGAAGACATTAAGGAAATTGTATTTTTCTGTTTTTATTTTTAAAGCATAAATTACAGTAGTAAGAGTGAACTTAAATAACGCTTCTGTCTGCAACAGGTTTAACTGGTTCAGTTGCGGAGAAAGAGTGGAGAAATAATAACTATAACTAAACAATAAGATTTGCTGACAAACTTCAGCTGAAGGATGTATACGTATCCAGGCTCTACCATGTTGTCTTAATTCCTATGTTATTTAAAATGTGGTATTTGCCTCCCTGAGTTGTTACTACTGTTGATGTGAAAATAAATTATTTTCTTCTATTCATGTTTTGGAGAATATCAAATGTTTGAGGATTACACCTAAGAGAGTGAAAACATATGACCAGCTTTAGTCTCTTATACTTGAATTTGCCTGTGGCGCAAAATAACTCTTATACAGTATTTCTGCCCATGCTAAACCGTGCTAATGGTCTCATTGAAGATGATATTTTTAAGATTAAGGAGAGCATTCACAAAGACTAGCTTTAGCTGGAGGATGGTAGTTTTCCTAACCTCCTTCAGTGGCAACTCAAGGGCAGACACATCTGCTCTAACCGGTGCTATGCCGCTACCAAAATGTCTCTCTCTGTTACCCATACAGACAGCTGAGGGACAGACAGCTTCCAGGACCAACATGAGACTAGTGAATATTGCCTCCCTTCCTCCACGCTCCATGGTATTCCTCATGACAGCTTATACCTCACACCCTTAGAAGGTGCTTTCTGAGGAAGTCCCAGGAATTTGTGCTCTGGTTTCATAAAGTGCCCAAGCATACATGAAGTGCCAAGCAAACGGTGAAGGACCTTGCTTCAAGCATAAACTAAGTTTAAAACATTTTCTTCCACTAAAATTATTTTAGCAAGTTTCTTGTAGGCAAATTTCTCATAATTTGTACTCCATATAATTCCATAATTTGCAAAGCCTGTGTAGGTTGGAATTATGTCCATATAGGATATCCTGCTCATTACAGCAAAGCTGACGGCACTGAGTTCTGTCTCATGGTTCCCAAAGATCTGGGTTGGTGATCTGGTTTCCCAACATAGATTAGGCTTTGTCACGAGAAACTTGCACCAGAAGCAGAGGTTTTTGAGAAAACTGCACTGAGGAGGCTCCCACAGTTGCAAAAAATTACACTAACTTTCAGATATACAAGGAAATAGTTTAGAAAAGAGTAAAAAATCAACAGGTCTAGATGAAGCCTTGATGCATTCTCTCAGATATATACAAAAAAGATTCAAAGGTAGACTCAAACATATATTTATATTCAGAGTTAATAGATGGATATGTAAATGTTTTTAAGGCAAAATAGTGGTCAAAAGATCATGTAAGATTACTAGGTTCTCCGCCTCTGTCTACAAAAAAAAAAGGGATATGGAGCTTTACAAATGACTCTGAAAATGTATTTTAAATTTCTTCATCTTAGATTAATCTAGATCTTTTTTTTTAGATGAAGGAAACAAAATGTTTTTGGCACAATCAAAAAAGAACAGCTTTTCATCGCACCCACCCACAGCACATGGGTCCATTTTCCTTCACTTCTGCACAAAATGGAGAACATTTGTTTATGGCAGGAGAAGTAACCTGATCAAAGCTCTCCTTGTCTTTCTTGGTTTATGTTCATACTGATATTGTGCTGCTGTTTTTCACTCTGCAATCTTTTTTTTTTTTTTTTTTTCTCTTTTCCCCACAAGCTATGTCATTTTTATTATGCTATTTATATTGTTTCTTAATAAAAGCCCTCTGTGAAAAGATGTTCTTGCAAGATCTTATTCTATGTGTGCTTGAGCATATGGGTGAAAGGCTATGCAGGATTTGCAGGAATGTGACTGGCAATGTGATGATGTTTCAGGGGGTGGAAAAGTAGAAAATGAATTTGTTGCATGCTGTTATTCACCCTTTTTTTTTTTAAGGGAGGGGAGGGGGCTGCAGTTTTAATTCACATAATTTAAATGTCAGCTGAGTCCATGTATCTAGTGTTCCCTGTTGGTGACCAGCCTCTAGAGACAGCTAGTTACTAGGAAACACCGGGTAACGTAACTTGTCTCCTTACTTATGGCCTTCACGATTGCCTGCAAGCTTCTCATTGTCTGTAATGTATTTGGATATATAAGCAAGAGTGTTCACTTCTTTTTCTTTAAGACTAGTAAATGCTGTACATTTAATAGATTTAATAGATTAGACTGGAATATCTTTTCTGATTTTTTTGCCCCATTATTATTATGACTGCAATGTTTGAGGCTCTTCGCTTGGGTCTTGATTTATTATGATTTTGGGCACAGGGGTGGTCATGTTGGCACAGTTACAATGTTCATGTGCTTATAATTAGGCAGGTGCTAAAATAAGAGCCTTAAAGCCTGCCTTGTAGCACTGCAAGGTTAATGGAAAGCCTCCCGTTGACTTCAGCAAGCAAGCTTCAGGTAAAGTCCTTGTTTCAAGTGACACTGAGGAGCAGAAAATGTCTGAACATCTATTTCCTAGAGAGGGCAGCAGGCCATAAAAAAGTGGACTAAGCAGAGACACGATGCCATGGGCTTCCATATAATTCCAAGGGATACACCAAAAAGTCACCTTTAGCTGGTACTTATGGTAAGGTTATCCCCTTAGATTCTGTGAGTTTTGCCGTGGTGCATTTGCTTTACATAGTTACAAGTTGAATGTCTCTGTTAAGCTGTCTGGCTTGCTAATTTACAACTATTTCCTTCTCCGAAAATTGAAGAGGGCACTAGCAATTCTGAATGTAGTTTTGGTTCTCAGCAAGCATGCATACTTAATAGATTGTCACTGCTACAATTGTTTTATTATTATTATTATTATTATTATTATTATTATTACAGCTGCTTTTTTCACTTTGGCAAAAAATATCACTACCACCTGTACAACATAGCTGACACTTAAAATTCACTCCAGGTGGTAAAGCATCTTAGCCTGCAGCACGGGCTGAGGATGCAACTGGTCATGGTGTTCCCACGGCAAAAACATCATGAACAAAAGCACTGCAAAATGTTACTTACAGGAGGTTATCTTCAGACTTAGGTAAGGACACCTTTAAAACATCATAGAGAAACTTGAATTCAAGTACTAATGTTTTTGTAGTGGAAATAATGCATTCAAATAGCTCAGTGACTTCATGAAAATACAGAGCCCAAGCCTAGTCTCACACATATTAGTCCAGTGGTGCAGTACCACCTCTGACAGTGTTGAGAAGATTAAGATTATGGTGTAGATGAGATCAGTCTGTAAAGGTTGTCAGATATTTTTGGGTCCATAAATTTTATATTACCTAGGGTAAGGATAGGATCATGAATATTTAACCCTGTTTTTTATTAATAGAACAATATACATTGTGGGCCTGTACTCACTTACTTTCAATAGCTTGTGAATTCCCTGGCAACTTTGACTCAGATCTGACAAATTTGTCAAAGGTAACAAACTGTCTGAGTCTGAAATGGTATTGCATAAGGTGAGTACCTGTTCTTTTAAGAAATTTGTTCTTTTAAGCAGGACAAGCATATTATTTCTGTTATTGTGGGAAGCATTACATACTACACAGTAAAATATGTGTATATATAGTATCACTTAAAATAGAATTTTAAAAAGCTGACTTTAGGCAATTTGTAGATATTCTTTAAAAAGTCCTAAGCCATTAGCATTTCTTATATTCAGGGCATATTTCTGTGGTTTGGAAAGAAGAAACCAAGTTGTGTTGGTTGCACAGCTGGTGTCAGCAGCAGTATTTTGTCTCCGATGGCCATGGGACCCTGGCTGATCACCAATATCTGCTCAGGAGAGATGGGATTAAGTGGAGCAAAAGTCTCTCTGCTATCAGGATGGCTTACCTGGTAATTAGGGCTTTCAGTTAGGAATGATGTGGGATGGAGAGAATCTCAAGAAACTGTGCCCACACACTGATGTGTGCAGCTTGGGGAATAAATGTGGGTAAGCAGAGGTCTGCATGCACTTGTTGCTGTCATTTAGATATGGTGAGTTGGTTTTTATGACCAGAGAGCTGCAGTGGAGGGATGTGGTCTCTTTAGGAAGAACAGGTTGGGAAGATGAGGTGGGGGAAAAAAAAAAATATATATATATA